CTGAATGTGTTTGCAGCCCTCCAGATGACCGGGAGGCCTGCGTAGTCCAGAAAGATGGAGTATGTCCCAATGCAACGCTTTATTGATATTTTAGGAGAGAGGTTAAACACACATTTTGCAGAGAGGAAAAAAATGTAACATGTAGTTTGGCCATAAGGAATGCTGCCTATTCTCTCTCTCTCGCTCTGTGTCTGTCTGTCTGTCTGTCTGTCTCTTTTTGGCCAGAAACTGAGAACTCAGAGGACACAGTAATAGAAAATGAACGAAACCATGGCCCTTGGATTGTACTACAGAGGAATCTTGTTCTCCTTGATCGGGGGAGGACAGTCAGTGCTCTCCTAACCACAGGACTTCACCTGGCCGCCATTCTCTGCCTCAGTCAATTATGCCCTAAGAGAATCTCCAGCGCCTCAGTGTCACTGAAGATCACCGTATCGGGTGGGAACCCTTTCACAGCCCCATCAGCCCCCTCAGGGTGGAGGAAGGAGGGCACTACATGCTCTATCAAAGGCCCTAAAGGCTTCAGCTGGCTTTAGTTCCTTACTGAGACAACACCCTCCTATACCAGAAGAGTCAACCAGGAAGACTCCAGTGGAGCTGTCCAAGGTCCTGTTCTCACCTGTCCTCTCCATAAATATAATTCTGCCCTGACTCTGCTTTCCATGTTTTGGTTAACCTACCTTGACCTGGCTTTGTCTACCTTGACCTGGCTTCATCAGGCCTGTATGAGACTCAAGAACCCATACATTTGGACAGCATTTTCCCCTCCTCCAGAAAAGGGGCAGCACTCAAGTTTCCTCATCAGAACCTTCTAAATCTTCTCAGGGATCCAGAAAATGTCTACAAATACATCAACTGTTAAACCAGAAAGCTTCAGGATGCTGGCTTATAGTTCAGGAGCAAATGTTACCCTTTGTTCTGCTTTCATCACAGCAAGAGCTTTGCATGTTTGGACAACAGTGAGGCATATGTTATAGAACATCCGGCCAGTAAATCAAGGTAGAAAATATTCCGGCACAGCGTTCTTCAATGCAAATTTCTCTATTTCATCATTTCATTAGTAACAAAGAAGACAATGCCAATTGCAAACACAGGATTAGGCAAGTTTGGCCATTTCAAAGTTGTAATTAATGTTTTCCACATGGTTATGGCTAGCATGTATGTGTGAAAATAGCATATCTCCAAAATACAGATGACTCCCTGTGAAATGGAATTTGTCAGTGGTGACACTGAAACTGATGGTGCCCCCCCAAGACCTTCACTGGGACAAAGCAGGGCTTTAAGAAATATGAGTTGGAAAAAGATACACAGTTCTTAAGGTTGCAAAATTAATTGGTCCATCAACAGTTTTCACAACATTTTCTTCTCAAGATTAAGCCCTATAAATGGCTCGGGGCCAGAGAATTTCAAGGAGAGCCTTACTCAAAAGAACCCGCCCATCCCCTGAGATCACCAACTGGAGCCCTTCTGAGGATGGCTAGAAGAAGAGGCCCCTTTTTGGGAGTCGCACCCTGACTTTCCCCAAAGAAGTTCACCTGGTCCCCTCTTTTATAGTCTTTCCAGTGCCAGGCAAAAACCCTTTTTATTTTCCCTGTTTTAACTGTTCGATTGATTTTAATGGTTTTAAAAATTTACATCTTATTATAAAGTGTGGTTTTGCCTTTTATATAATAATGGTTCCTCTTAAGGGTGATATTCCTGGGTTTTAATCATCTTATGATTAGATTTTAATATTGTGATCTCAGTGTTTCATTGTATGATTTATTATATGGTTATATTAATTGTATACTTTTATCTGTAACCAGCCCAGGGAGACTTACAGCTAATGGGGAGGGCTAAAATAATTTAATAAATAAATAGAAAAATTATTGATTTGTACATGCATTCCAATAGACATTTCTATGTAATAGAGCAATTAAATCACATTAAATGTGCTTTATTTTTTCCCCTCAAATTTCCAAGTCAAATATTTGGGGAGTATCAGGGCAAAAATTAACACAGGGCAGTTTGAAGAGTTTTTTTAGCTTTGCTGTTTACCAAATGAAAATAAAACAAGCATACCAAATGAGATAACTATCTTCTTGCATCGGAAAATTCTCTCATGCAGACCGACTGTTCTTCGGTGCAAGTTATTTCAGTTTTCACAAAAACTTTCTCCAGAAATGCCACATCACTTATGGATCAGGTTTCGGCTGAGGCTTTAAGCAAGCCAAGTTTGCCCGAGGGCCAAGAACAGAAGCAAGCCAGCACCATGGAGAGCTCCACATGATGCTGGTGCTCATGGCCAGAACAGCCCATCCGTGTGTCGTTCCAACAAGCAGCAAACCGTGATGGAGCCTTAAGTAAGGCTTTTGATCCACATGAGCTGGTTAATTGCACATCCTATGAAGATCCTTTCCTGTACAATCAGGGGACTGCTCTGCTCTCCCAGCCCCAGGCTGTGGCGAGGTAGCGGTGCCTGAAAGCGCTTGCTAGTCTCATGGGTGGATTTCTCTGAGTCTGAAAGTCTGGACACAGCAGCCTCCTTCAGACACAGGGAAGCCAGATCCTGGGGTCTTTTTTGGGAAACTGAACCCGGAGGAGCTGGAGAGCTCATGATGTCCTTCTAGATCTGCATCCGTGCAAAACAGGGACCTGTTTTTTGAGGATGAGCGTACTAGAGCAGGACATTCAGGCATGCCAATCCAGTTACGCTTAAGCACTGCTCATCCTGCAAGTGAGAGTGGCGAAGCTAGCCAAGAACTCAGCAGGGCAGAAACCATGGCTTGCTGTCGCTCTATTTAATTTACAGAATGATTTCAAACTCCAGGTTGTTAGAAGGGTGACAAACAGGGCACAAATGCACAAATCTTGCTTTGTGTGTGTGACACTGACCCCTTTAGCTGTTAAAGAAATGTATTTCTCATAATTCCCCAGGAACTGCAATGCTAAAGACACCTTGCCACAAATACCTTAATGCTCACAGCCTGCTAAACTTTCAAATGACATGTATCTCTCACCTTGAATTTAAATCAGGGCCCGTTTGCACCACACTTGAAAGTTCTTTACAGCCCTTATTCTGAAGAGGAAATTCCTCCTCTTTCCATCTCAGCCTCAGGGTTACTTCTGTATGTAGGCATTCCTGTGTTATTGTGGCCATATTCACCGAAGCTGAACTAAGCGAACTGAAGGGCTATCAATCTATGGTAAGACGCAGAGCTAGAGAAGGATTTTTGCTAACTGGGGTTTTACCAGACTGCACACACAAACAATCCAAATACTACATCAAGAAAACCTGAATTTCTGCTACTGTTTTGAAATTGTGCTAATTCAATGGACTTGCACAATTCATCTGGCATGCACAACTCATTCTGCAAAGTACATATTTCTGCATATTTTTTCCAGAGGTTGCCACAGGCAGTTCTCAAGCCTGCCGTACACAACGGACAACTTTTCCAGCCACTCCTCTGGCTTTTGAACTTTTAACAGACTTAATTTTGTAGCCACGAATACAGGAACCCTTTATCTTTCACTGTAGGTAGCCCTGCTGCCAGAAACTAATTGAGAAAGAACGGTATCTCACTGTACACTTCCACACATTTCACCAGCGGCCTGCAATAGAAACTTGGAAAAAGCCACGCTAGATCCAACCGAAGGCCTGTCTAGTCTAACATTCTGTTCCAGAGTGGCCAAACTGACACCCCAGTATTAAGTCCACAAACAGGACACATTTCTGCTCCACATAACTGATGTTTAGATGCGCAAGAGACTGTATGGAAACACACTCTATTCTCCTACACCATCCAGGAGGTCAAATGCTGCAGGCTTGAGTTAAAAAAACTGTTATGAACTTCCACAGCCTTTCCCAACCTAGTACCACCAAGACATCTGGGTGACAGCTCCCAAGATTCCTAACCGTTGGCCATGCTGGCTGGAGTCAACGGGAACTGAGATGCAAAGCAACCGTAGAAGGCCAGATGGGAAAAGGCTGGTCTACTGAACGCTGCCCTGAAGATCATCTGGTTGAAAGGCAGGGCAGGAACCTTGCAAGTAAACAATCAACGGAAAAATGCTCTGGCCAGAAGCAGCATGAAGCCTTTCACTTGCGTGTAAGAAATTTATATTAGAGGGGGCTATCAGAACAGCCGGGGGGACCCCGTTTCCAAACACTGAGCTTCGAAGTCATGGATCCCTATTAATGTGCCAATTCAAGCCACAGAGATTTAAAAGTACACCTAGGTAGCCAGGAGAATTCCAAATCTGCTTTAGTGAACAGGACACTGGATTCCCAGCAGATGCTGCCCCTATTCCAGCACCCCCTGGGGGGCCTGCTCTGGAAAACTGAGTGGCTGCTGATCAATGATTGAACATCAAGATAATCAAACACTGTTTTGATTATCGTGAACCCCTCTGTGGCTTTGGGGGCTTGGCTCAGGAGAGCCGGCCCACCAGATGCTCTGGAGATATTTGCATGTGGCAATGATATAAAACTGCCCTAGGACTTCTAGGAAGACATGCGTGATGGAGAGCACTCTAGCCTGGGGGCGGGGGGTGGGAATCCCACCTCCATCAGATGGAGAGAACCCAAGGGACAGATTTAAGGATACGAAGCCAAGTCGCAAAGACTGTTCCTTTCAGGATTAGGAGGAGAGGAGCGAAATCAATCTCTCTTACTAAGCAGGGACCGTGCCACAACTGCTTATGAGCAAGAGACGGGACACGCATCAGTCACGATGCTCCCGCAAGAAGGTGCACGAAATCTTTCCCGACTCAGGTGCAGGTCGGCTTACTTCAACCAGGTGGGTTTCAGAGGGAGCCCTTATTCAGAGGATACGCCAGACTGAATCCAGCTGCTGAAATATTACCTGCCTCTGGCAGACGTCTGGGGAGGGGGAGAAGCGACTGGGAACTGCACGGGACAATCTCAGCTGGCCCTTAGCCCCACACGCTCCAGCGCACACACGCCAGCACGCACGCACACCGAAGCAAAGCCACCGGCAGCCACTTCCGGGATACTTTACCATGCTGGAAGCAGACTTGGGCATCGTCTTCCGAGCCCTGTGGACCTTGATGCTGGCATTTGCTGCAGCGGATTTCTTAACCTCACCGTCCTTCGCGGCCTCCCCGGGTTTAGCTGGCGCCTGGGGGAAGGTGCTCAGCGCGCGCCCTTTGCTTCCCGTGGAGGGGAGGGTTTTTGCGGCGTGGCCAGTGAGGGAAGCAAAAGCACCGCTGGTAGTCCTTATGGGTAGCTCCTGAGCCACGTGCTTGGGTAAAACGTATCCATTGCTCCCCGTGACCGCAGTCTGTGTGAAATCGTTTGCTTTTATGTGGTTTTGCTTTACAGTGTCATTGTCTCTCTCAGAAATGCCGTTCTCGGTGATTCTATTTATCTTGGCCGTGGCATCCCCTGGGCTCAGTTTTGCATTGTCCTTAGGGTTCTTCGCTGCACCGGAGGGGCTCTTGGTCTCACTGCACTCACAGGAGCCGTTGGTTTCGCCATCGGGGGCCATCTTGGGTTCCCCAACTTGCTTCTCTATGGCACTTTCATCAGCTGCCATAGCATTAAATCCTGGAGAAAGAGAAAGAGAGAGAGAGAGAGCGTGTGTGTGTGTGTGTGTGTGTGTGAACACACAACAGCGGAAGGAAAGGCTTTATACTCAACATATCCATACCCCGAAAGAAGAAATATTTTAACAGACTCCAGATTTCACTGGCAGGCATAGGACTCTGCTCCCATCCCAATGTAATTCTTGATCTGAGTCATACAACTAACAAACTGATAGGACTTGCATTCAAGAACTACTTTCCACCGGTATTCAATAGTTATTCTCCCAACATTCCATCGAGTTCAGCTTTCCCCAACAACATCCACCAAATGTGTTAGATCACAACTCCCATCATGGGCAGCAAGCATGTCCACAGGCTATACCAACATATCTGTAAGGCAGCACCAGAAGAACCTTAAACAAAAGAAAGGCACCAAAGTTTGTTTGTAATATAAGTCAGATAAAGGATTTAAGCAAAACCGAAGTAACTTTCAGAACCAAAGCAAAACAATCTACTATGTAACTTTCAGAACCAAAACATTCTGCATTCAATGACAGAAATAGGACCAGAATTCTGAATGCAACTTTTCAGTTACTATCACATAGATACTTGGAGAAATAGAATGGTTTCTTATAGGCAAAGGCGTCAAACAAAGCTGTATTTTATCTCCCAATCTGTTCAATGTGTACACAGCATATATCATATGGAAAACTGGATTAGGATCAAAGGAGGAAGAGCTGAAAACAGGCGTACAGACATCAATGACTGAAGCGATGCCGATGATTCCGTATTACTGGCAGAAAGCAACAAAGAACTTCAAGGGCACCTAATGAAAGTCAAAGAAGAAAATGCAAAGCAGGAGTGGAGGCGAATATTAAGAAAACAAAAATGATCACCAGGGAAGAATTACAGAACTTTAAGGTCAACAATGAAGAAACTGAAATTGTGAGTGGTTTTCCATACCTTGGCTCAGTCATCTATTCAAAGGGAGGCAGCAGCCAAGAAATTAGAAGAAGAATGAACCTTGGAAGGACAGCAATGGACTGGAAAAGGGTTGATGAAAAATGTGAGGGTGTTTAACTGGAGACAAGGCCATCTGTAGTGTTGTATTCCTGACACTACGGAGGGGTCTGAAACCTGGAAAGTAAAGCAAGCTGAGAAGAAAATAAATATCGTGCCAGAGGAGAACTTTGTAAATATCCTGGACCAAGAGAAAGACAAACAAGGGTGTCCTGGATCAAATAAAGCTAGAAATTTCCTTGGAAGCAAAAATGAAAAATCTGAAGTTGTAATTCGGAAAGGAAAGATTCAGCAGGGAAGACAAGCGTGCTAGGGAAAGCAGAAGACCAAATATTATAGGGATTGATTCCATCAAGGAAACCTGAGCTAACAAGAGCCGAGTGGGGCTGTCAAAGATAGGACTTTCTGGAGGCAACTTGATAGCCAAAATTCTTGGGGTGGTTCATGACAAAAAATGGATCAGTTAACAAATTAATTTGGTTTGAATCTGACCAAATATTTGCCTTTATAAATTAAAAAAACATGGCTTTAAAAAAAAACTGATGAGAAAAAGAGGAAGAATATTGTCTTTCTTATACCATCTCCAATGTTCTGATGCCCAGGGAAAAATATTTTCCTACTTAATTTACAGTGTGGTAGCTTGTAGATACATAGATTTATAATGGCTAACATCTATCACTTTTCTAATATTAGATTGATAAATGAGAAAATTTGACTAAATCCCCAGTGATAAAAATAAAACTCAATTTAGGGAATCTATTTTGAGTTAAAAATTATACAACTTGCAAAAACTGTAAATATTCTCATGATGGACTTTCTTTCAAAAATACCTGAAAGTAATATTTTCACCATGGGAGTTCATGAGAAAAGGAACATTCTTCAGGTTGCGTTTCAAAGTTACTTCAAGGCAAATCTATCCTCCCTCACCAGAGTTATGAGGATACAATGAGTCAACTCCATGCTTTTTGTCTTGATTTAAGATGGATGCATTTCGCAATTAAGCAGGTAGAGATGACAGGACAATAACACTGTGGTAGTTTTGTGCAATTCCTATTTTGCTTGACGAGCCCTAAAAGATCACTGTGCCAGCAGACTGGGCAAGCATCACAAATAAAAATATTTAAAGTTGTACACGCACCAGGATCACTGTATTCTCCCTGGACAAAGGCATTAGAATTAGAATTATTAGAATTAGAATTACCCATTGTGTTTTTCAGTCCCATCATTCCTTGGGACTACCATTTCTAATTCGGCGTTGGCCACCGAACTGTGGGTTCACAGGCAGCCTAAATTCCAGCAGAGCTGCCCAAATATGAATACAATTACCAAATGTCTTTGGGAGAGCTTGTTTCTTAGTTCCAACACAGTTGCTCTCCGAGCAATTTAAGCGAGTATTGAAAGGTCAGGTGGCAATCCGCCCCAGGACAGAGTGCGTACATAAGCGCTAGCCTAGGGAAAGGAAATGTACCAACCTCTAGGAATTCCAGAGTGGCATTCTCTGAGAGATCATTGGTCTGAGACCTTTTTCAAAGGCAGTCAGACCTCATCGAAGATGGTCAAATCTGCCTTCATGAATGTAAGTTTGTTTGTTTGTTTAAAATATTTATATGCTGTCCTGTTCGCAAAAAAGCCTCAGGACGGCTTACAATGTAAAATATAACATAAATAGCATAAATAAAATTCCCAACCCACACTGACTGCAATTAAAAACATAGAAAAGACAATATTAAAACTTATTAAAATACCGCTGGAATAAAAATGTCTTAGCCTGGTGCCGAAAAGCAAATAACAACAAGTGCCAGGCGGACCTCTCTGGGGAGTGCATTCCATGGGTTGGGCGCCACTGCAGAGAAAACCCTCCTCCGGATACTCACCCTCCTAATGTCCTTCACGGAGGGCTCCCGGAGGAGGGCCTCTGCCGCCGATCTCAAGGGGCGGGAGGGCACATATGGACATAAGCGCTCCTTTATGTAACCAGGACCCAAGCTGTTGAGGGCTTTATAGGTGATAACCAACACCTTGAATTGGGCCCAGACTTCAATGGGGAGCCAGTGAAGCTGGTAGAGGACTGGGGTTATGTGAGAATAATGCTCTGTTTTGCACCATCTGAAGTATCTAGACTGTCTTCAGGGGCAGCCCCATGTAGAGCGCGTTACAGAAATCCAACCGGGAAGTAACCAATGCATGTGTCACTGTCGTTAGGCAGTCGTCCTCTAGGTAGGGGCGCAGCTGATAGATTAGCCGAAGCTGAAGGAAAGCGCTCCTCACCACCGCCGTCACCTGGGCTTCCAAGGACAGCTCCAGGTCGAGCAGCACTCCCAAACTGCAGCTAGCATTTTCATGCTCACCACATTGGCCTTCTGATGAGCCAAACAACCTCTCCTTCAAAGAAATAAACGGTATCCATTTGCTCGGACACCATGCTCGCCCTGTCAGATTCTTTCGCCGTGAATGATCACTGGAAGCCTGTACAATAGGTCCAAGCCTTTTTGAGGTGCTATTAACTGGTCCTACCAAAACAGGGAATTATCAAATGTATCTGCCCAGCTCCAATGATTAGGAAAACAGGAGAATAGGTGCCCTGCTTGGAGGTGAGTTTACAGGTTGGTATGCACCATTTGATTTTCTCTGCAACACGAAATGTGTCCCAATGGGAGTGCTGAAGACAAAACAAATCCAGAATCAGGCAATCTTTAAGGCTTGACAAGTGGAGCTTAGCTACCCCAAATGAATCGACTCCGGCCAGAGAAAACACACCCTGGTCCAAAATGACTGACTGCAGAACATTTTGGAAGCCAGTGTGGTTAAAAGTGTGGGACTGGGCCTCAGGCAAGCTGGGTTCTTGTCCTCACTCAGCCACGAAGCCCACTGGTGAATCTGGGCCAGTCACAGGCTCTCAGCCCGACCTACCTCACAGGGTTGTTGTTGTATTGGATTTAAGAGGGAGAGGAGAAGGAGAATGATGTACGGTGCTTTGAGTTCATTGTCAGAAAAAAGGTGGGATATAAATCTAATTAATACATAAATGACATTCCTCCCTTAAGAACCAGAGATATAGGGCAAAAAGTTCCCCAAAACAAAACAGAACAAAAAAATCCAATGATTTTTGTTTTTCCATGGAAAGCTTTCCATTTTGTAAGTTCATCAGCAAAAATGGGAAGATCCGAACTGCACATATAATGTCAGACGGGCCAGAATGTTTCAGAGTTGCACTTCACGTTCTGCAGATGATTATTCCATAACAAGTGTGTGGGAGAATATATTATGCCCCAGGAATGCATATATGTCTCCGGATGAAATGCAACTAATAAATGGCGACAAGGAATACAAGAGGCTCACTGCCTCTGCTACGGAAAGACGAGTGTCTGTCAAAGTATCATATACATTTCCTTGCTAGCTTAATACTGGAGTGTCAGCACTTGGGGGGGGGGGGGGGTTGGGGGCCGGTTTGTTTCCTTTTTTTGTTTTTCTTTAATTTTAAGCAATGCAAGGGAAGTACAAGATGACATTGTCTTGATTCACACACAGAACTAAATCATTACCAAGTGAGGAGGGCGAGAAGGAGTGGAAGGGTCCATCGCTTCCCCATGCCGTTGGAATCGAAGATCGCCCCATTTGTGGATGGTTCGGCATTCAAACTTGGGCACCCTCGGTCGCTTGGCAATAAAACGACAGGGTGTTATCCGACAATTTGCTGTCGGGTTGTTAAACACTCTGGACAACGCAGATTGTCTGGGTTCAGACAACTTTTTGGCAACCTATGAACAAGGCAATTCTGCTCTGAAAGCAGAATTGAAGAATGGGCCAGAAGTTTGTGTCCAACAACGTGCTGCTTAAACAACCCATAAGTTCTTGTGTTGTGCAAACAAGATCATTCTCTTAAAGGGTTCACAAGTTTTCCAATACACGTTTCTAATTAACATAACACTGCGATCATGTTGGCCTCTGATGCATCCAATGCAAGGCAGAAGGAATGCCAAGGGGAAGGTTGCCTTCCTCGTCTCTACACAAGGCTTGGGACAGCGGATATGGGCCACCGAGGTGTCTTCCCCTTGTACATGAGGAGAGGCCAAGAGGCTGCCAAGTGGCGGAGCCCTCCCTGGCCTGCTTGCGGGAGCACCCACAAACCTCCATCACCAAGGTCAGTCTTCCAACGCTGACATGGTCGGGCCGTGCTGGCTGCCAAGGAGAAAGAAGGGCCTCCAAGGTCCAAGTCCCAGGGTCCAAGTCCCAGCTGCAACCTCCAAGTTTACATCCAAGGTTGGAGCTGGGAGCCTGACTTCTCCATGGGCAGCTAAGCTCCGTCTAGGATTGTTCCCTAAATATACTTCATTGTTTCTCAATTATTTCAAGTCAAATGCTTGTCCATGGGATCAAAACGTGAACAAACGGGGCTTTTCGTTCAGCCTTTTTCCTAATGCAAGTCATTCAGATTGCTAGATCAGATCGCTCTAGGCCAAAGATGGGCAACTGGTAGCCTTCCTGATGGTTCTGCCTACGGCTTTCCTCTGCTTTAGCCAGCATAGCCAATGGTGAGGGACTGGAGTGAACTGCAGGACAAAATATCTAGAGGGCTCTGGGACAATGGAACATTACCCCTACGCAAATTAATTTGCAATTTTTCCCTATGCAAATTAATCTCATGTGCACTGGAAATGTTTCAGATACAAACTGAGCATTTTCTTACGCAAGTTAGCCTGGCTTGGAATTCCACATTTTCTGAAAATCCCACATCAGTGCTAGGAACATAGAGTCCGGTTGCCACTCCTTTTAGGCCAATTTCTCTCCGGGAGGGATTTCTCACTTAAGATCCATTTACAAATGAAAGAGCACTGTTCCAAAGAGGTTACATCTTAAGCCCTGCATTTTCAGATCTTGGTAAAGAGAAGGTTCCTTTGATGCACTAGCTTTGGCATGGCAACTGCATTTTACACTTGCGTAGACCTAAGACATCTCTCCCACTAATGAGACCTACAGAATAAACAAACGTATTTTAAAGACATTCCAAAGCTGTGAGACTTAGGGGGCAGCTGTGTTCCTACTTGAACACACAAAGTTCCGCACAAAGTCATGTATAGGTCTCCAGTGTTAACTAAATTTTTGCTGAATATTCTCTGCAAACCACCTGAAGAGGCATTAGAATGCATTATTTAATTTTATCTCTCCATTCTTAAGATTTAAAAGAGAGAGAGCGTTTAAGAGAACGCTTTCCAAAGCATTGTAGGAAAAAGTCTCTTCCAATGCAGCATAGAACAAATCCATATAACAATACTAAAAGCGAATCAATAATTAGCAGTTAAAACCAAATAACATATACATAATGGCCTCAGTAGAGTCCTAACTCAATTACAGGTCAAGGTAAATTAAGCCTTCAGAAGATATTACCCAAGTGTTTGAAGATATTATCAAGCCAGAGCTATGGTTCTTCGATTGTATTCCTGCTTTAATTCAAGCGAGATCTGAAAAAACTTTCCATGCCTGTTCAACACAAATACCATTTTAGGAGGGTCTTTAAGGGCAAGTGTCCTGGGTCATAATGGACACCTGAAACTATGAGCTGGTACAGGACTTCCAAGACAGACCATACACGCACATGAGAAGTTTCAGAGGAGGGCAACAGAGGTGAACAGGGGACCGGAAACAAGGCCTACCAGTAGAGACGGAAACAATTAGACATGTTTAGCTTTAAGAAGAGATGGAGGTTCATTTGCTTCAGGTATCTGAAAGGTTGGCACAGAGAAGATAGCCAGGATCTCTTCTCGATCCTCCCAGAGTAGAAGACATGAAAGTCACAAGTTACAAGCAGCCAGATTTCCCCTGTGCTTCTAGAAAAACCTCTTGAATGTTCGAACAGTAAGACAATGGAACTATCTCCCCAGCAGGGGCATCCACAATAAAGGTGGGCTGCCATCTGTTGGGGGAAGCTTGAAACTGGACCCAATGACCATATTGGTCATTTCCAACAGTAATCTTCTGTTTCTATACGCACATATTAATCCTGTTCAGAAGACACACGTTACTATTCTATGGCAGAGGCAAAGCCAGGCATTGCTGGGGTGGGAAGCCACCTAGCAGCAACTCATAAGCCAGTCGAAGCACGTTGGAGGACACGCCAGATACAAACCCAATACATGTTTCATTCGGCATTCTATGCATTATTGGAATTCCAGAAGAGGGGCGCTAGAAAACGCCAAAGCAAACAGTGAGTGCACATACATCTAATTTTTATCAAGGTTCCACACTGCCACAAGAACAGAAATTTGAAACAGTGGTCAAAGGACCCAGGTTTATACTCAAAACTTGAATGTGCAAAAGGGACATTATGAAGGTACAGCTTTTATAGCAAGCGTGGGCAGCCTGGTGCATGCCTTATGCTGTTGGACTCCAACTCCTATCAGCCCCAGCCAGTGTGGCCCATAGGCAGAGGTGATGGGAGCTACAGAGCAACAAAAATGGAGGGTGCTCAGTGTAATTGCCTTGCCGAGCTGCTCCTCGTTACGCTGAGCTGGCTGGGAGGGCGCCGCCACGGCTCGCAAGTTTGTTTATTTATTTATTTATTTATTAAAACATTTTTATGCCGCCCCATTCGCCGAAGCCTCGGGGCGGCTTACAAAGTTCACACTCACCTTCCTCTTTGTTGTTGGTGATATCTTTCAACAGTTCAGTCTTCATGCAGATCTCTCTTCTGGCATCCCCTTTACTCATCAAAGGTCGCTAAACAGGACAGAAAAAAGGTATTTTGATATGTGCATGAATTCGCAGGAGTAGGATCTGCTTTAGTCCCCAAAGCAAAGAAGAAATTCGTAGGCAAAGAACTAATTCCGACAGGCAACTATTGAAACTTTGCAGGCACTGCAGTGGCCGGATAGTCGCGCTTGGGGCGCAGAAGCAGGGCTTCGGCACTCCCTTGAGGTTCAAGAGGGGGCCTTGATCAAAGCCATTTCCCAGCCTACCGCAGAGGACCATGGCTGCCCTCGCAGCTCCCCAACCGGTGCCCTCCAGGTTTCGGACTTGAACTTTCACCAGCCCCAGTAGAAAACTCCGAAGGGCTCCAAGTGGGGAAAGGCCAGGCTGAATCAGCAGCGACTCAACCCATAAGCACAGAACCACCTGTGAATATGCGTCAACATAATAATACTCAGCATCTTAGTGGTACCACTGGAATCTAATAGTTCTGACCTAATATTTATTCTCTCATTTAGGAAACAGAATGTATGCCCAGCCCACCGCCCGAAGAGAAGAGAAGAGATCAAAACAGTTTGACAAGCACAGGAACAATATTTATGGCAAGCCACAAGCAGCAACCAAGACAAAACCAAATGCAGAATGAGCAACCACACAATAAAATTCTACACTACCAGAATCAAAGACTTGTGTGCAAAGCCTTTACTTGCCGGCAGAGCAAAGAGAGATGCAAAATGGCTTAACTTCACTTTGGGCAGCCTGAGGCCCTCCAAAATTGCTGGACTCCAATTTCCAGCACTCCAGCCAGCATGGCTGATGGTCAGGGATGCTGGCACATGTCCTGTAGAAACCTCTACGTTGATTCCACATCTCTGGTTTAACATCCCAAGACAGTGTTCCGCACAGACAGTAGCATGGCTAAGAAACCCCTGAACATGTCTGAAAGCACATGCAAAATGGGGTTTGGCTGCTGAACCTGAACATGGTAAAAATACGAATCATGATCCGCCCGCCCCCAAACGATGCTCAGAAAGTACAAAGCAGCACAGAATGTTCAAGCCCGCAACAGGAGAAATGTGTATTTTTCATACAAAATTCTAAAAACTAGAGCATTCGTCCTCAAGACAAGCCTCTTCCTTTGTTTGCTGAGTTTCCTGAGTAAAGAGGAGCTAAAAAGCAGCTCAAATATGAGGTTAGGTTAACTTCTCTTCTTTGGTAACTGCTATCTGGGAGTTCTACGTAAGAGCTGTTCTCAATCAAGGTCAAGATTCAAAGGGATGGAGACAGGCTGGAGCACTGGGCTGAATCCAACAGAAGGAGACTCAAGGACAGCAGAGAGTGGAAGAAATGTGTATGAGAAGGACCTGAGCCAGCAGTGTGATGGAACGGCTAAGACAACTAATGCCATCACGGCTTGTATTAATAGCTGCAGCTTTTTCAGATCACTGTTCTGCTCTATGCTGCCCACAGTTGGAGTATTTTATTCAGTTATGGGAGCTCCATTTTAAGGAGGACGTTGGAAAAGATGGAGCATGTTCCAAGAGTTGCCAAGAGGGCGATGAGAACGGGAAGCTCTACAAGGGATGGTTGAAAAGTCCAGGCTATGAAGAGAATAGTCCTTCAGGTGAAATGTCTTAGGAATCCAAAGGAAATTGCAGTGATACAGAGTGGGAAATTTTCCAGGGCTTTATTTTCCCAATCCATGTCCACTCGTCACAGTAAATGGATGCCAACTGCAGGAACAATGCTAACTAAAGTCTGAAAGTTTCAGAGATGTAATGAATGATTTTCCAGGAGATTATCTCAACAAAATAAGTATGTGTGAGAATAGGTATGCCTCACTTTAATACATGTATGTGTCACTGTGAAGTAAATTAGAAAGCAGAACTGAACCTGAAGATGGCACGACAATTTGAGCAATTCTCAGCACACACACACAGGTATTTGGGTTGCTAAAATTTGGGTTGCTAGCGTGTCGACTGTTTTCAGTACATTCTGTTTTGTTTCTTAAATTTAAGCAATGCACAGGAAATACATGCTATTGTCTTTATTTTACAAGGATTCCAATAAAGAAGGCAGTGTTGTATAGTGGTTAGAGTGTGGGATGAGAGTGAGGAGATCTGGGTTCTAGTCCCCATTTGGCCATGAAGATCACTGGGTAACTTTGGGTCAGTCACTTACCCTCATCCTCACCCACCTCACCGGTTTGTTGTGAGGACAAAACAGGGAAGGTCCATTAAGCGCCTTGTGTTCCTCACAAGAAGGTGGAAAAGGCAGAGTATAAACGTGATTAACAAAAATCCCCTCCAATATTTCAGGTCAAATAATTTTGGAGCATTGGGTCAAAAGTAATCAATTTTGGCCTAAATTAACATAGAAACATGGAAACAGAGCGAGTCAGAAGGGACCTCCCGGGCCATCTAGTCCGACCTCCGGCACCAGCCGGCTCCACTCACGACATGCCCACCATGTGCGTTAAGTAAAATTAAAAAAAAAAACTGCACAAAATCCGATCACTTCCTTGGGCATCAGACTTTTTTCCAACACAAACCGAAAGCATCCTAATACAAATTACTCTAACTGACTTAAGAAAAAACATCCTGGAAATTTTTCCAGGTCAAAATTTTCCATAAATAGCCCAGAAAACTCACACTGCCTAGAGCCAGCAAGACTTGCCAGTTTTTCAGGAATAGTGGTGATATTCTTGTAGGTTCAAGTAACAGCAGCAAGTGTCAGCAATTTGGGGAGGAAGTTTCTGGGAGATACAGCATTTGCTTTACCTGTAAAAGAAGCCCCAGGTTTGATCCTCTTTGCAGGAATCTGGTGGCAGGTAATATGAAAAGTCAGAAACTTCGGAGAGCTTCTGCCAGTCAGAGCAGTCTATACTGGCCTTCATGAAGCCCAGCTTGGTAAAGGCAGCTTCCACGGCTCAATGGCAGAATAAGACCTTTTGCCTGCGGATCTTCACCCCGAGTATCTACCGTTAAAAGATCAGCTAGCAGGGGTAGGCTGCCAGAGAGTGTCAAGAAAACTAAACCAGCTGAGATGGATGTGTTTGCTGAACCTCACCGCAATGCTAGGGAGAGGTCTAACTCACTGGCGGCACAAACCATAGTTGGGTGTCGTGCCTACCTGGTGGGAAGTCAGCATGCGACTTCCCTGCAGCTTTGCCTTCTGGGTGGGCGAGAAATGCAATAAATAAATACATGATAAACGCAATGCAAGAGAACAGTGGGGCAGAAAGTCAGAAATGTGAACAAGCCACTTCTGCAGTTCTGTATTTGGCTTTCCCCGCTAAAGAGCTTCAAAAATGCATGCCTTCTTCAAGTTCACGTTTTATATCAAATCCACCAATCGTTGTATTTCTTTCCACTGTTGTGCGATATTCTTTCTGTGGATTTCAAGTTCGCTACAACACTGAATGGTCTAATTGGCTAGGACGGACGGACGGACGGAAGGAACAAAGGAAGGAAGGAACAAATGATCCTGCCAGCCAAACTTATATATTGTGTGCTCATAATGACTACGTAAAGTTAAGGAACTTCCGAAGCTGTGCTGAGGAACTGAGGGATGGAAAAGGAGAGATGGAAAGGAGTTTGCTTCATGTCCATCAGCACTAGCATAGCAGCCAAAGCCAAGCCCATTTTCTACCCATCACATCGCTGTACCACAATGTCCACAAGTCTGCCCTGTCTTAAAAACAAAAAAAAAATCTGGGGAGGAGGTTGTGGTTCGGTAGATAAGGACATGTTCTGCATGCAGAAGTTCCTGCCTGAGTCCCAGTCATCACCAATTTGAAAAGCCTCATGCAGCAGAAGATAGGAAATAACCTCTCTCCATATCTAGAACCTGAAGGCTTGCAGAGGTGCTGCCAGTCCGAGCAGACTGCTCTGGACCACACAGGCAAAAATCCTTCTCCAGTACAAAGCAGCTTCCGACAGCCCTAACCGCTGGAAGGAAAGTCAGAGGTGCTGGCTAAGATGCGTCCCTATTTGCTTCTTCCCTACCAGCCACTCCACAGCTTTTGCTCTAAGCAAACTGGGTCTCGCGGCCAAGACGTCCCCCAGTTCCAGTTTCCTAAAAGGCGGCTGAGTAACTTGTCTGGGGTAAACTTTGCAGAAGCATACTGAAGCCGCTCCCTTTCAAGGGAGACCAAAGGCTGCGCCACATGCAAGAATCAGCTTTTTTTTTCCCCCATGCATAAGCTTGTGAATGCAATTCGAGAGAAAGGTAATGTGTGAACAGATAGACTTTGAAGCAATGTCTATAAGGAGAGGAACTCTAAAAATTGCCTAATAGCATCTGGATAGTGTCAATACAAGCAGTCACATACTGAAAGATGGCTAGAAGTGTCTGTTTTGAGATCAAAGAGAAAGAGAAAGAGCGAGAGAAGGAGAGAGAGCAAGGAAAGAAAATCCTTATCCTAAGACATCAGGTTGGAACTCCGATAAGATGGTTGACTGTTTCTAATGCAGGAATAACCACAAGATCCCAGTCTGAACAAAGCAGGCCTATTTTCCATTGTCTACAGGGAAGGAACATGCAAGTCATCTACGGCTGGAACAGAAGTCCTTTGGATAAGCCAAGAACTGCGAACCAATCTTGTAAACGAAGTATAAACCACCCCAAACGCCACTGTGTAACACTAGCCCCCCATCATCTGGTTTCCTCTTTCTGCATTGCAATCAGCGAGAGAGCTTTCAATCTCTCCTGGCCTCGTTGGCCACACAATACAAAGGGCCCCTCTCGTTTCCCCACATTGTTATGTTTTGAGTTGTTTCTAAACACAGCTGTAATATCAATTCCACCTAAATGCACCCGCATTTCAGACAGCTGATCGGATTGCTGTGCTTGAGAATCTCTGCCTTGGTGAGTCCTTTCTAACAAGGTCAGACCTATTCAGGGATGGGGAAAGATCTGAAAGTCCCCAAGCGCCCAGGCAATGGAGTGTGGGGTTTGGCAAGGAAGGTCTCTTCCTAGAACACGCAGGTACTCAACACAGTAGGCCCCAAAGACAGGAGAACCCATAAACAGCCCTTTCCCGGCCTAGCTTTCGCTTTCGAAACCTCTCCATCCATTGCACACACTCCAGACAATGAAGCTCTGAAAGGGCAGTTGAATGTCAGCAAGACTCCTTGCTCATGTCCTTTGCCACACAAAAGACAAAACGTCTCCTTAGACAGTTCCATCAGCCATGTCTCTGCATAATTCACAGCCCAAAGCTCCTCCTTGCTTGCTAAGTCACCAGTTTCTCCAACAGTTCCATCCCACTGAAAGAGAGCAGTTTTTAAAGGAGCACCATTCCTCTTTGTCCTGTAGAGAGAAAGAACAGACACACCCTAGACAAGTTTGCAGCGAATACAACCCGAGGGACGCCCAGGCACGGGCCTCTCCTCCATGAAATTCCAAGGATTCGACCCCTTCCCTTGGTCAATTCGAATCCCCAACTGTGTCCATGTTTGCAGCCTTGACTGAGGTCATGCACAGAAAACAAGACCTCCACACCCTACCCAACGACAGCACACACGCTCTCCCCCACCAGGCAGCAGTTTTCTGCCATGATCAACCCATGCCTGCCAGCACCCACCAAGCCCACCCAAGCGTGTTCCCAGCAATTCTGTCAGTACCTCCATTTTCCCCCTTAAATGCAAAGCAAACTTCCCTTTTGCTCACACTCCACCATGCCCCAATCTGTCGGCTCCTGATTGGCAGAGAAATCTTATACCCAACCCTCCCAAGCAGAGAAATGTCTGCTTTAGCAGCACTCTCAACAAAAGCCAACTGCAAAGCAAAGACTACTTCAGAATACAAGTCTCGCCACCCGCTCCTCTCCTCTCCCCGCCCGCTTTCCTGCAGCCGTCTGTCTCCATTCTCCTGCCTACAACAGAGCGATTATTAATCTTCAGTCACCGGAGGACAGCCTTTGCAAAGGTCAGGCACCAGAACCAAAGCGGCATAATTTACACACGCACGGCGCATATGCACGGGAAAGAAATCGCCATGGAACCTTCAAGCCGAGTGCTAAGGAGGCCCGGCCTGGAATAGAGAAATAATAAGTCAGTGGCAACCAACGGGCTAAGGCACCACCGGCCTGGCGACTTGAGAATGAGGAAGGAGGAAGGCAAGGCTCTCCAAGACCAGCACTGCTCCCCGTCCGCTCCAGCACCGCCACCAGAAGTGTCAACATTTCCGTGCCCCGAGCCAGACGTGGGAAACGACGACGTCTCGACACGCGAGGAGGCGAAGCTCATGGGTTCTGAAGAGGGCACCGAAGCGGGCAGCACGTGCCCATGCCCATTCCAGGCACTGGTTCTGCTGGCATCCCCAGGAGACCAGCAGTCCAGCTCCCTGTGAACGTGGCAAGAGGGGAGAAGAGCCTCCATAAGCCAGGGCAGGCATCCGAACTCGCTTGGGTTTTTGTTTTGTTTTTTTGTTTCGCATTTATCACGGGAGGAAGGGCGAGAGATGCACCATGCAGGAGGAGAAGCTGCCTGATGTGAGCTGAAATAGGTCAACACAAGGAGATAAATCAGGGGAGGAGAAACGGCAAGGGCGTTTGTGCTCACGGAATGGGCAAAACCGAAGGACGGCTTGCAAATGCACACGGGGCCAGAACGATGGGGCTCTCCTTGCAGCCATGGCTGTTAGTTTTCAGTGCCTCTCTTAGCATTCTACCCTCCATACGGGTCGACTGCCTTTCAGAGTCCAGGCTAGATTGCTCTCTAAAAGCAAAAACAACCCACCATATTGTAACCACACAACGGATAATGACAACAATAACCATACCAATAACAACAACAACATGAGGCAACTTCCAACTGCTGGAAATTTAAACAAAGCAAGGCATGCTATGCATTAATCTCCAAAATTAAAAATCCATCTCCTTAGCATTGGAATCAGGGAAATGGGACACAGAAACCCTAAGCAACACCACTACAAACCAGGAATAAAATCATTATTCAAAAAAATTAAGAAGTACAGGAGGAGATTTGTTTAAGCTTTTCGTAGAGTATTTCTTCGATGCCCTAGCCCTGCCGGTCTTCTGCATTATGAAAATGGAGAAGGCAAAATGTAAATGAAATGGAAGGTTCTCACCAGCAATTTGCTGGTCAGGTCCATTTCCTTCCAGGCCTCTACCAACTACATCAAAGCCTTCCTGCCCCTTGTTCTCAGGTGCATCTCTTAACAATCATTTCATTTGATTGGTTTAGCAAAGACAATAGTCCATTATCCACCCTCTCTCTCTCTCTCTCTCCCCCCCCCCCCCTCCAGTGCAGCTATAAAAATGAGCTGCAAATGAAGGAATGAGAGATCAAGTCATAAAAGCATTCTGAAAGCCAGCAACAACGCCTGGTTAGAGTTAAGGAAATCGTAAGGAAAGCTGAAATATCCAGTGCAACATCCCACACCCAAACGAAGAGTGGTCTCCTCATGCAGGCAGTCACTGACAAAAAGACGCCAAAATGATTCCCAACTTCTCCTCTTGTCTCCCTGGGGAAGGGAAAAAAAGAGACAGAATCAAGGTGTTAAAGTTGCTTTCCTAAGCACACTTACCTGGAAGTAAGTCTCACAGAAATGTGACTTACTTAACTGTAAGCATGCTTAGGATCTGTCTGGCAAACTAGCCTCGTGCCCAGCACCCTCCTGATGGCAGGAAATTGTCCATTTTGAAAAACCTCGGGTCCCTACAAGAGCAACAAGAATAAAGCGTTATGCCAGGACAGCAGACGTCGTGCAAGTCAAAATTAGATCATTTAGACCCAGAGAGCGCCAAGAGAGAGTGTGCATACACATATTGTTTCCACTTCCCCAAAATTACAGTTTTTAATAAAATTATCAAGGTCCCCTTGGCCCCAGACAATCCAAGCCACTCTTCCTTCCCTTCCCTAAAGCAGACCAATCCCTTGTTGCAGATTAGACAGGAAAACGAGGAGGACAGACAAAGACACAAGATGGCTCCATCCCCTTTCCCTCCACAAGGTCCTTGTGAAATGGAGCAGAGAAGGATTGCCCACCACCTCAGACCCTCTTCCAGCTCAAAGTGCGATTCCGCCTCCGTAAACCGGGAGCTCTGCAGAAATGGGAAGGCAAGCAGCATGAGGAAAATCGAGAGGAAGGCAAACAAGAGCAAGGGCCTAACCCCTACCCAAAAAACAATGCGCTCCCACTAAGATCAGATCCTTTTAGGCAAGTCTCCTCCAAGACTCAGTAGACAAGGCCTCGTAAGAGCAGGTCCTCTAAAGCTCTCACTCAATGCCCAAGGCCTAGTCCCAGATGCCTCATTTCTGCTCTGTCATGGGGGAAGGAACCTAGCCTTTCCCTTCCATCCCAAAAATTTGCTCTGAATTAGATCATCTCTCTCAACCTCCCCCCACAGGCTGCTGCTTCTGAGCATGCTCAGCTCAGCAGAGCAAAGCCATTTCATAACTGCACTGTTTACAGAGACACAACGACCTGCCATTTTTTAAGCAGTAAAATAAAGCCAGGATTCGCAACACAAGGAGCACCTCCATTCCTCTGGCAGCCCTCTCCAAAGCACCTCTCCCCATGAGGAAGAGGGGAACTGCCACCTTCTCTCCCCCCCCCCTTTTTTTTTAATTTAACTCGGTTTAACACCCAAGGAGAGCGGGGAGGCTGCACATTTAGGTGAAAATGACTTGTGCTGGAAATGCAGTCCGGTAGGAAGCATGGGCTTTGGCGTTCCCCTTGAAAGGGAAGGGGGGATGATCTCCAGGTGCCATTTCCTTTAGGGGCTGCTCTGAAGTACCAGCCCCACTCTGATGCCTTCCACTTTGGGGGCAGGGGGATTCAGAGGCTGGAAGGGCGAGCAAGCAGAGTTGCCCAAGCGCAGCACAGAGACTTGGCTTCTTCAGATGCAAGCGGTGATGCCTCTCTGCAGGGGAGCAGGGAGCGGAGAGAGGGCATTCCCCCGTCCGCATGTGGGATTCCACGAAGAGCCCGGCCTGGGAGCCAGAGGCAGGCTCCACTGCAGCCTGAGCACGCTTGTGCCTGCCAGATCCTCCACCTTCTGTTGGATCCCCAGCCAGCCAGCCAGCCAGCCACACAGTCTGCATCAACACTGAAAGAAGATGATCCGGTAAGCTGCAGTTTAGGACCCCTCTTTCCTTTTAACTTCCTCTTCGGACTGCCCTGTTCCTGTTCCTCTTCCAGTGGGTTGACTTGGAGAACAAAAGAACAGGATAAAGGGAGGAAGCCCTGAAGCAGCCCATTTCCACAACATAAACCGGGTGCAAAGGACTTCGATATTCTTTCAAGCACCATCATGTTTGGTTTATGCTGTACAGTTTGCTTAAGGAGATTTACCAGATTAAAGTAAGTTTGGCGGCAAGCGCACAGAATCTGCTGCCCCCTTAAAGCAACCTGTTTATACATCACAGCTATGGAGGACAATCTATTCTGCGCACGGGAACGCCAAAATGCCACAAGAACAAAAACATCTGTTGTTTGGGATTGGGAAGCAGGGCACAGAAAGAGCAGCTCAGTGGTTGTTAAAACATCCAGGTGACTCTTTATAAAGCCGATTTCAAACTTCCTCATAACAGTATCTTTGAAGAATGCCAATTCGTACTGCAACCTTCCGCCAGATGCGCTTTTGGTCTGACTTCTGTATCCATGCAAGCATAGGACCAGAGACTTGTACTTAAGCAGGCACGTGTTAAGACAGGGAAGAAGATGGCTGCAGGAAACCCTTCTCAAAGCAGGAGGGCCTTCAGGTGTGTTGGACCACCACTCCCATTGGCCCCAAGCACTCCCCTGACAGTGAGGCAACGGCGAGTTGAACTCTGAACAACTGAAGGATGCCCACTTGGAGAAGGAAGAAACATACCCCTTGTGGCCAAGTGCACAGTTTCAAGAAAGCAAAACCTGGCAGCAGCCTGACACCCAAGCAATCACAGGGACCTCTACTAATTAATGTTGAGGGAGAGTTGGCCCATAAATACTTGCTCTTAGCAGAAGACTGCTCCCAGCAGAGAAAGCCCCAAAACCCTCATCCTGAAGGCTCTCCTCCATTCAACAAGCTCCAACGGGCATCGGAAAGGATCTCGGCTGCCTCTCCATAGCCACTACTTCTCCAGAGGGCCTGACAAGGGTTTTACTCTGGCTGGGTAAGTTGCTATTGTGCCTTAATTCTATAAACCAGATGCTGAGATATTTGCCTACAAATACAGAAAACTGCCTTGTATTGGATGGATTTCAAAGACATCTAAGTAGTATTGGCTACTCTGGACAGCAGTTGCTCTCCAGAATCTCAAACAGAGCTATTTCCCATCAGCTCCAACCTGTCCCTTCCAACTGGAGATGGTCAGGAAGTGACCCATGCACGTTCTTGCAGACAAGCGAAGTGGTCTTCTATTCAGCTTTGGTCTTAGACCAACACACACACTGCCCAAACACTTCCATGAATACATCCACAATTCAGTAAGCGTCTTCCATATAGACTTCTGTCAGATCTCAGAGTGATGTTGGTGGGTCAAGAGATTTGTTTTTGGCCCAGTAACTTTTAAAGAGGGTTCTGGAACATGGGTTTAGTGCAGTCGTTCCCACAAGTCATGTGATTATACTCGCTCAGGCTCTTGTAAGTCAGATGATTTGGTACATCAAAAGAATGTTCTCCCAGACTGATTTGGGAAACTGACCTCTAGTTTCTCAGCACCGTAGGAAACAGCTACAAGGACTACGGAAGGGGACAATGGAGTCTTCCGCTAGTTCTGGCCCATGGGTTTAGTCAGAGATGCATTACACAGTCCACAGAACAATAAACAAGGACAAGGCCCGCTCAAAGACAAAGCCAATTAATTTTCCTTGTATTAGATTGAAGCTAAGCTGTCGTCTTCCATGCACAGCCATCCTCGGTTCCAGTCAAGAATATTTGAGCCAACGGAAAGAATGCAAAGTAAAATATAACTCTTCAAATGTAGGTAGCAAAATTATATATAAATGATGCCATTACACACAGCCTGGCCAGAGGAGGAGGAAGGTGTTTTGTTTGCTAAAAAAGAAACAGTGTCAACATTTTAGAAACGTTGCAGGCAGAAGGTGCAAAACATTTTCAGCAAAAGGAAAAAGAAACTATCTGCAGGATACACTTTCTTTCTCCAGAGCTTTGTAGGCCTCAGAGAACTCCACAATAAACCAAAGGATAACCAAGGCAAGACATGTTAGTCCTTACATTAGCAGAGATGAAGATACATACAGAAAGCCACACTGGTTTTAGTAGTAAAAAGCACGTTCTAATCATGGGAGACTTCACATTTTGAATCTCTGAGCTTTCCCCAGCTTCTGCTCCCACTGACACAAAGGACAACATCATGCGAGTTTAGTCTTTGGAGGTTTACCTATGGTAGGATGTGGGAACAGGAGTACTCCTTAATCTCAAAAGTCAGCATAAATGGCTATTCCTACCTATAAGTTGTTTGGATAATCTTGAGATTGCTCAAAGGTTACACAGGAGACAACCTGAAAATTCTGAAAATTCTTCCACTGGGGGCGAGGGCAAGGGACACACACACAAATCCCATTTGGATCAAAATGACTTTCACATCAACTAAACAACCCAATGAGAAACACTGGTTCCACTCCACTATGAGAAATGGGCCTATTCGGCTTAGGGAAAAGGGCAAGTAGAGGGAGATACGATAAAGGTGTTTAAAATAATGCGTAACACTCAAACCTGGGGTCATCCCATGAAGATGATGGGTGGGACGTTTGGGACTCATAAAAGGAAATGTTTCTGCACACAGCATATAGTTAAACTGTGGGATTTGCTGCCTTGGGGGGAAGTGGCGACAGCTGCCAATCTGGATGGCTTTAAAAGGGGATTAGACAGAGTCGTGGAGGAGGCAGCTATCTGTGGCTACTTGCCCAGGTGGCTATAGACTATCTACCTTGACCAGAGGTGGTCTGCCTGCACGCCCCAGTTGCTGAGGAGCTGGGCAGGCAGAGGTCTTGCACCCGCCCTGCTGGGGGCATCCTGTGGGCAGCTGGTTTGCCATCGTGCATACAGAACGCTGGACTGGATGGCCCTCGGGTCTGATCCGGCAGGGCTTTTCTGCCTCCTGCATACAGTGGAGCTCGTTGAATGCCACGGATTTCAAAGTGTACGCTCGGAACTGCAGCTACTATTTCCTAGCAACACAAATCATATTACAAATGGCTAACTGGAGCTGGATCTGGTCAACCCAGCTAGATTTTGAGGAAGGAGGTCAAAAATGCTGTGTGTGCTTATAGATCTTTCAGGAAGGATGCGTACGTTCACATTCTCCAAGACAGAGACAGTCCACGTGGCAGAGAAAGGACAGTACATGCAGTATTTCTTCCAAATACACACGCTTCATGTATTTGGAAGAATAACATTTATGCAATATTATTTATACTGTACACAACTCTCTCTCTCTCTCTCTAACTCTCTCTCTCTCACACACACACACACCCTTCTATTTGCTTCATCAGAAACCTAAATTCAAAAGAACTGTGCTTTCCTTAGAACACATCTAGAACTAAATAATAATTACCATAGCTATGTATCAATGCATTAAAATTGCTCACATAACTGAATACTCAACCATAATCAAAAGGAAAGTGAAACTATTAAAATAAAGGCTCTGAAAAACATCATGTTTTTGAGGACAGGCTCAAGGAAGACATGACTTGTCTTGAAATCAGC